TAGTGAAGTACACGAACTTCCCAGTGCGCTCCACACAGTCCACCTTCTTAATGGACTGCAGCTTGAGCTCTTTGCTCTTGTTCTTCTTCTGGTTGTCCGCGTAGATGTTCAGGCTGTCCGTGGTGAGGATGCAGGTCTTCCTCTTCCAGAGCTGGAGGAGGTTGTCGCTCCTCTTCTCCAGCTCGCCTTCCTTCAGGACGTGGGAGATCTCGGAGCCCGTCATTATGGCGGCGCTTTTGGTAATGCTCGGGTTGTGAACGAGGGGACAGGAGTACGAATGTCCCAGAGCTGCGTATAATCTCCGCTGAAGCCGCCGACCGACGCTGTGCTTCTTCATGCGTGCGTAAAATCCAGGCCGACGCGAGTGAAATGCGGCGGAGACCGGCTCCGGTTTTGAAGACCGCGTGCGCCCGTCCCTCGTGACGTCATGACAACTGTTGCCGGAGCGCGTGGGCGGCCGCGATCCGGAGAACACTTTATAGCTCTAACATGTCCGAACTTAGATTCTCGTGCAACTGAAGTGATTTATGTAGAATCTGAATCGATCACAAAAACTTCATTATTCTAGAATAATATAATGCCGTATTTTCAAATTATGATGGTGTAATTGCTCTTTAAGGACTAGGCTACAACACTAGTGCACAACCATGACATATAATTTAAAATATTATCAATTACGTTTGAATGTATTATTTTAAATAAAATAAATATAATTAAAAAAAAAATTAATACATTTACAAAGTCACTTCCACTACAAGGGACTTTACACTCTTACAAGAAACAGCTTTTTTTCTGAAATTACCGAGGGTGTTGTGACAAATCCACAAAATATCATTATCACACTTTTGTAAACATTTAAATGCTGAAATGCTATATTAAGTTTAAATTATAACCAACTGTTTAAGAAAAGTGCACAACCAAACTGTGATATAAAGAACAATGTGAAATATAAATTAATTGTAATAAAAATGAAAACTTTTTTTTGCTACATTTCTGTTATTTGTAGAGTAAAGAGTAAATATATTTTTTTCCCCCCCTCATTTCCTCTTCTGCTTTTATTCACGTCTCATGTATGTGGGTGTAAAGTGAGTTTTGCTTCATACCATGATGGTTATAAAGATGTATAATATGAGCTTACATGTGTATGGAGAGGATTTATGGGTGTGATACATTATGAGCTTTTACAACTATTCCTCAAACACAGACTTGAGTAACTTATTAATGAAGTAATATGACTTGTGTATATGTTATATGAAGTCATTTTCTTCCTATACATTTGGTCTTTGAAAGCAGCAGTTCAACAATCCAGACCGGTGTAATGAACTGAGAGGATCATAAATGCTATCAAACATCCTTTGATGAACCATCTTACCCTTCCCTTTCATTTCCACTCCTCATCAGCCGGGTGTGTGTGTGTGTGTGTGCGAATGTGTATAATGACATGGGTACTACAACTGTGTCCCCGTAAAACAAAAGGCTTAAAAAACATACAAAACGGTATTTTATGAAATTCAAAAATTGGCAGCAGTTTCCTGTAAGGGGTAGGTTTAGGGGTAGGGTCGGTGTAGGGCAATAGCACATACAGTTTGTACAGTATAAAAACCATTACGCCTATGGAGAGTCCCCGTAAACCACAAATACAAGTATGTGTGTGTGTGTGTCTGTGTGTGTGTGTGTGTGTGTGGGTGTGTGTTTGTGTGTGTGTGTGTGTGTGTGTGTGTGTGTGTGTGTGTGTGTGTGTGTGTGTGAGCAGCATCATGAAGAGACGAGGCATGTCATGCCGGATGACTCACATCAGTCCCGTTGATTCCTGAGGGAGGAGTCCTGTCAAACAAGGAGTGCTGGGATTTTGCCACCTCATTCTAGCTCTGGCCAGAGGTCACTTCTGATCCCATCTCAGCCATATCCTAGTATGATCAATCATAACTCATTTAGGATCAGAGGAAAGCGTGTTCTTTAGAGGGAGAACTTGTGGCTGTGTTTCTTCTGGTTTGTTGTCTAACCTCACATTCCCATAAAGGCGTTTTGTCTCTAGAGCCCAATATGGGTGCCGGTGGGCGTATTTTGATTCCAGGCAGTGACCTCATTATCTGAGAAGTCGTATCAAGGTTTTGAGACATCGGTGGGAGGAGGGTTAGGATCTGAGAAAGGAAGTTTAGACTGGTTTGGGAGAAATATGTTTCCGCAAGTTGGATTTCTCGGGTAATTTCCAAACGAATGTGCGAGGGACTTTTGTTTTGTGGCCTTGTAGGATTATTTGGACTTTATACAGAATCTGGTTGAACTAATCAAGTCTGTTCAAGCCCAGTTCATGGCTGCCCTGTTTATGAATAACTACAATGACGTGATTCATACTGTAATCAGTCTCCACCTTCACTTCACAAAAGCTTTGTTTAATAGATCAAGCCAATGTTGCATAACTGTGTCGCTGAATGTAGTGTGAAAAAAGAATCTAGTTTACTACAGAATATGACATTTTAGAAATTAGTTAGGAAAAATTAATTTGCTTTGATTAAAATGGAATATTTCTTCATGGAAATAGAGTTTCGCAGAAAAAAAAGTTTGTTGTTTTTGTAATATGAAAAGACATCATGTTAAATATGTAAAAATGTGTACATATATATGTACACCTATTGTAATATACCTGCACATACAATTGTCAATTTATATATTTTTATTGCTTATTTACTTGTTCTATTTTTTATTTATTTGTATTTTTTATTATCTGTGTTTTTTGTTCTGTCACTGTCATTCTGTTACACTGCGGAAGCTTCTGTCACGAAAACAAATTCCTCGTATGTGAAAACATACCTGGCAATAAAGCTCATTCTGATTCTGATTCTGATTCTGATATGTGTACAGAAAACAGAATTTTATTGTTTGATTACCTACCACTGAAGAAAATGGACATAGCAGGTCTTTGAAATTACAAAAATGAATCATGTTTATACAACACAATTCATTTATATTTCTGATGTGAACATGTTTTAATCAAATAGATTGCAGTTGTTCATTTTGAGTGTTGAATATAGACATTTCTCTCACGTTGATTGAAACTGATTGAATCGAAAACTGAAGTCAATACGGAGGAGAAATCGTTGAATAAAGTCTGATCATGTGTGTTACACAATCAAATTAAGTAAACTCACAGGACTTTTTTCAGTGTAAGTATATAAAATATTTTACATATAACTCAATATTATTTAAAATATTTAAATATAAAATATATAACACATTATAAGATAAATAATCATACATTTTTTTTAGGTCCAGCACAGCAATAACACCACTAGACTATACTATTCAAACTGTTTCCGCTGATTGAAATAAAGATACAATTTTATTGTTTTATTTTTTTCCAAATATTTCTATTTAGCTTTATTTCTAGTACTAGCCTATTTCTAGCCTATATATATATATATATATATATATATATACCTAGGAATATATGATATATACCCAAATAAGAATTTTCACCGGATATAAACATAGAAGTTTAGACTGAAAAATGTAGAAGTTTTAACTGATGTTTTCAGAAAGTTTAGCAGTTGCAAATGTTACAAATCAGTCCAAAAATAAAATAAAAAAAATCCTTGGTAGATGAAAATGAACTGTGGTTTATATCAGAATATCATGATATTTATCATGATATTACCATTATAAACAGTGTCATTGCCAGAATTTTTTTTTGTAAGAGAACCTATTTGACATAGGAAAATATGTCAGTGAAATTGCTCCTATGGAAATGATCTTGTTATGCTGAATAGGTTGAACCCAATTCTGAGGTGGTATTATTTCTGATGAAAGCAGGCTGCAGTGAAAGAAAGGCCTGAGCACAGAGCCACAACAACACTGCAGCTGTTACCTGACACTTCTCAAGCAGGATTCTTCGCCTGTCAAAGCCCTATCTCTGTCAAGAGCTCTCCTCTCCAATTGTTTGGGACAACTATTTTTGGCATCTTGATCTCCAAGCTTGATCTCTCACAAAAAAGCTTCAGCTCTTTCCTCACACTCATAAACGTATGTAGCCCTCTTGGGCAGAACATACAGCGTTGAGTCCCGTAGTTATTTGAAGCATTGTTCAGATAAGCCAGGTCTGACGAAGCCAGAGCAAGTGCAACCGTATCGTGGGAAAAAGAACAAATGGCACAAACGTCCAAGAGAGGCATGAGAAACTATTGTGAAACAATGCACAGGGATGAGAAGTGCTGACACATACGAGTCAAGAAGCCAAGTGCCATAACAAAGCCTGATAGCTCTTAATATAAACCTAATTCCATACAGGACTCCATAAACAAGTCACTGGGTGACCATAAAAAAATCCAGAAAAATGCCTGAATAAATGATAATAGCATTTTTGACAAAGCTGTACATTGTTAAGGAGTATTTCATTGGTTGGACCTACTGAACGAATACGCCCTTTATTGAACAAATTGCTAGTTTGTGAATGAACTCGAATAAATGAGGCATCTTGTTCATGAACAAGAATCTACTAGTGGACTGAACGAGAGTGGACATGTTGTTTGTTTAGCTCGGCATGTGAATCAGTCTCACTATTCAAATGATGTAAGAACATTTTTTAAATTGTTTAATTATATCTCTTTTTTTTTGGTTGATAAACTTATGCTGAGTAGTATATCTGCTTTGAAACGAAAACGTTTATGACGTTAAACACTATTATTGACATTTTTAACACTTGTTAAGGTTGTGAATGGCACATTGTGAATGAATCAGTTGACTTGCTCACTTGTTGCCACAAATCTTTTTGGTGAATGGTTCAGTGATTCAATGACTCACTTGTCGCCACCTACTGGCCAACTATGATTTAACCTGCACTGGATGAATCTGTGAACAAATCTTTTTGATGAATGGTTTAGTGATTCAATGACTTGTTCAACAAAGACTCACTTGTCGCCACCATATTTGAGTAAGCTACTCAAAAAAGTAATCCACTACAAATGACTAATTATTTCTTTAAAATTGTAATTTGATGACATTACGGATTACTGCATTTAAAAAGTAATCAGATTACTCATTACTTTACTTTCAAGTTACTTTCAAGTTTACTTTACTTTTCAAGTTATCAAACCTAAAAAATACACTACAAAGTCAAACTCATACTGTAGTTCTTTCATTAATTTAATATTGACTGAAAAATTACATATTAAAACACTTGTACGAAAATACCGTATTGACCCGAATATAAGACAATGTTTTTTTCTTGGAAATACATCTGAAAAAACGCGGTCGTCTTATATTCAGGGTCTAGACTTTGACATGTCAATAATACACCCACAATAATAGGTGGCGCCAAATACGCATAAAACGAGTGTGCCATGAAATACATAATGTAATGCGTGTTGTAAAGATCGCCAGTAAAAACAAAAGAAAAAGAAAACCTTACAGCTGCACGAGTCGTGACTGTCACGTTAGCCTGACGGGACCAAACTCCCTTTGTGATTTTAAAACATAAGACAGTACCCAGATTTGAAGACTACAGTAAGATTTAACTTCTACTGTTAATAAGATTTTGGTAGGCTACTATTAGATGGATAGCCTAAATGTCCTAATTCAGATGGGCTAGTTTTTTTTTTTTTTTTTAATGGTATATCAAAACGTGTATATTTTTTAAATGTGATTGTTGATACATTTTTCCAGTTTTTACCATACTTTCAAAACAAAAATTAAAATAGGAAAAATATGCAATATGAAAATAATTGAAGACAAAATGTGTTTTACTGAGAAAAAACAAGATTTGGTTTTTAAAAAGCCTTTTTCCAAAAGGTACATCTGGAAAAAGGGGGGTCGTCTTATAATCAGGGCCGTCTTATATTCGGGCCAATACGGTAATTAAAAATGTTTCATAATTTTTTATCGTACAGATAAGAGTAATACATGAAAACTGTAATACATTTGAAACTGTAAAATGTCTACTTTTATTTGTATACAGTCGCAATATCAACAAAACATTGTGCTTTTGTAAAATAAAGAAAACAAACAGGGTGTGCTTTCTGCATTCTCAGTCTCCGCGAATATCCTCCTGAAATGCATCATGCATCACAATATTGTAGCAATGTCTGAAGCACAGCTCTAAATCAAAATTGAAATCTTGTAGATTTCAGATGCTAAAGATAAAGGTGCATTAACTGGTTATTAAAGGACACTTAGTTCGGAGTCTAAAAACTTGCTGCTCAACATGCTTTTATTATACATGGATATTCATAAGACTGATTCATTTAAACTCGGTAATATTTTAAATGTGAATTTCAAAACATAGTCTCTTCACTTTTACCTGGGAATAAAAATGCCTTTTACTTGTCAATCTGGATCTGTAATCCACTACATTAATACCACTCCAAACTTGCATCTATGCATGCATGATATTGTTATTGAAAAACCAGTTAAATAAGAAACATTATTTTTCTTAATATGCAAAATGCAGAGTGAAAAAAGGGAATGTCTCCATTTGCAACAAAGCAATAACATACTTAACCTGCTTGAAGACTGCTTAAAGACTCATGCATGAATCAGATAAAGTCTGCTACACCCTTCACACAAACCTCATTCATTTCATTCATACTCACTGTAACGTTCAGAAAGATTTAAGTGGGTGTGTCTCAGTGTCCTGAGCATAATATGACTATAATATACCTTGCAAAGTCTGTAAAATCACTCAAATCAATCAGAGAACTTATCGTTAGCATTAAAAGATATAATTTGATTAAGTTGTGTGCAGCAGTATTAACAGAGTTCACACTGACAACATGCAATGTTTAGGTGCATATATGTTCCTTTTTATCTCTCTCAGTCTCAGTTTTACTTTATCACAATCCAAACAAGCTTTGCATACTTAGCATCTCACACAGCGAAGAGCAATGACATTGCAGAATGGTTAAACAAACATGAATTGGTGAAAGAGGATCTGAACTGGTGGCCATTTTCATTTTATTCCCAGGTGAGAGTGATTTATGACGTAGATTGTGGAAGATAGGTAATCACTGGTTAAACCTAGAAGGCCTGTTCCTAGAGTTTTATTGTAAGTTGCTTTGTATAGGGCATGCCAAGCAAGTAATACTTCACTATTGTTTTAACATGAGCACATAATAAACCCTGACATTTTCATGGATTAATTAACATTATCAACTGACTCAACATTTATATCTGAGATTATTGCTCTGAAAGTCATTCCAGCTTCAGTGGTCATTCATGAAGTGTATGCCGATATTATGAAAGGTTAATTAATGATATTTGTCATTTAAATCAATTTAGAAAAAAAAAAAAGATTGATTAACTAAAGGGATGATTCACCCCAAAGTGAAAGTTTGGTTATCATTTACTCACCTTCATGCCATTCAAAACCTGCATGATTTTTTTGCAGAACACAAAAGAAGATAATTTGAAAGATGTTTCTGCTGTTTTGTCCATACAATTTAAGTCAATGTGGACCAAAAAAAAACAAAAAAAAACACGACTAGTTTACTAATGGTGATTAAGTGTAACGATCGGTTAGGTCATATCACAATCAAACCGTGCAATTTATTATTATTGTTAAACTTTATTCTAAAATTCTTAATGTTAACAGCATCAGCATTGCATGACTATGTGCATAATTCAAGTCACCTTTATTTATATAGCGCTTTTAACAATACAGATTGTGTCAAAGCAGCTTTACAGTACCAAATAGGAAAATAGTGTGTCAACAATGCAAAAGGACAATAGTAAACACTCAATTTTCAGTTAAAGGCAGTTCATCATTGCATTCAATGATGTCATCGTCCAGCTCAGTTCAGTTTACATAGTATCTGTGCAATCAAGTCGACGATATCGCTGGAAATTAAGTGTCCCCAATTAAGCAAGCCAGAGGCAACAGTGGCAAGGAACCAAAACTCCATTGGCGACAGAATAGAGAAAAAAATTTTTGTTTGTTTTTTGGGGGGGCAGTTCTCCTCTGGCCAGATGAACCAGCAGGTTGTTCCATGCTGCAGCAAAGTTAGATTGTGCAGAGGACTCATCTGGTTCCCGTGGTCTTGCCACAGCCACATTACCCTGCAGCCCAAGACTGGTTGCCCACTAAAGCTAAGCAGGGTTGAGCCTGGTCAGTACCTGGATGGGAGACCTCCTGGGAAAACTAGGTTGCTGTTGGAAGAGGTGTTAGTGAGGCCAGCAGGGAGTGCTCACCCTGTAGTCTGTGTGGGTCCTAACGCCTCAGTATAGTGACGGGGACACTATACTGTCAAAAAGCGCCATATTTCGGATGAGACGTTAAACCGAGGTCCTGACTCTCTGTGGTCATTAAAAAAATCACATGGCACTTCTTGTAAAGAGTAGGGGTGTAACCCCGGTGTCCTGGCCAAATTGCCCCCCTGGCCTTTGTCAATCATGGCCTCCTAATAATCCCCAACCACTTGATTGGCTCTACGACTCTCTGTCCTCTCCACCTGTAGCTGGTGTGTGGTGAGCGCACTGGCCGTTGTACTGTGGCTGCCGTCGCATCATCCAAGTGGATGCTGCACACTGGTGGTGGTTGAGGAGAGACACCCCCCCATTGTAAAAAGCACTTTGGGTGTACAACAATACACAATAAAGCGCTATATAAATGCATCATTCATTCATTCATTCATTCAACCTTAATTTTATGTAGCTACGAGAATAATGCATGACATCATATTATCAAATGCAAGTAAACTTTTGAAACATTTAAATTAGCTTTATTTTTGGCATAATAAATAATGCTATATTTAATAATCACGCTTTTACATGATTGTAAAGCGTTTTGGGTGTACAACAATACACAATAAAGTGCTATATATATGAATCATTCATTCTTGTACCGATGGCTGTCTAGGAGACAAGGTTTTCACTGGGGACCTGTCTCTGGGGCTCATCAAGTTGTCCTGGAGTCCGCTGTCATTCAGGGCCGTAGAGGTCATCTCTAGGTGCTGATCCACCATCTGCCCTTCGGGCCGTCCCTTTCGCCCCGTGTCTTCACGAAAGTTGCGGAGGCAGCCCTTGTTCCCATGAGAGAGCAGGGCATTCGCATTCTCAACTACCCAACTGGGAAAAGAGCAAACTCTCCCCGATGCAGAGGATCTCTTTTCTCGGTATAGAGTTGGATTTGGTCGAACAGACAGAATGCCTCACGCAGGAAAATGCTCAGTTGGTGTTGAACTGCCTGAACATGTTCAAGAGCAGGACAACGGTCCAACTGAAACAGTTTCAGAGGCTCCTGGGTCATATGGCAGCTGCAGCAGCAGTCACGCCACTGGGGCTGCTTCATATGAGACCGCTTCAACACTGGCTCTATGGCCGAGTCCCAAGGTGGGCGTGGCAACGCGGCACTCACCGGGTCCAAGTCACACCGGCCTACCGCCAAACCTTCACCCCGCGTTTCTCCGGGCAGGAGTGCCCCTGGAACAGGTCTCCAGGCATGTTATGGTTTACACGGATGCCTCTACCACCGGCTGGTGGGCCACGTACGATGGGCATGTAGTGTTGGGGGTTTGTATGGGCCCCCAATTGCACTGGCACATCAACTGCCAAGAGTTGTTAGCAGTATGCCTTGCCTTGAACCGTCTCAGAGGGCGGTTACGAGGCAAGCACGTGCTGGTCCTCACGGACAACACTGCGACCGTTACATCAACCGACAAGGTGGTCTACACTCCCGTCGCATGTCGCAACTTTCCCACCACCTCCTCCTCTGGAGTCAGAAGTATCTGAGGTCGCTTCGTGCCATTCACATTCTGGGTCTGCACAACCGTGCAGCCGACGAGCTGTCACGAGCGGCGCTCCCCGGAGAATGGAGACTCCATCCCCAAACGGTCCAGCTGATTTGGAGATGTTTCGGAGCCGCTCAGGTAGACTTGTTTGCCTCTCCAGACACCTCTCACTGCCTGTTGTTTTACTCCCTGTCCGAGGGAACACTCGGCATGGATGCACTGGCACACAGCTGGCCACGGGGCCTGTGCAAGTATGTGCTTCCCCCAGTGAGCCTTCTCGCATTGACGCTGTGCAAGTTCAGGGAGGACGAGGAGCAGGTCCTGCTTGTGGCGCCTTACTGGCCCACTCGGACCTGGTTCCTGGAACTAATGCTCCTCGTTACAGCCCCTCCCTTGCACATTCCTCTGAGGAAGGCCCTGTGGCACCCGCGTCCAGACCTCTGGAAAGATATGTCTGGTCCCTGGATGGGACACAGAGGTTCTAGGTGACCTACCCCAGGAGGTAGTTGACACCATCACTTCGGCGAGACCACCGTCTACGAGACACGCTTACGCCTTGAAATGGAACCTGTTCATCAAGTGGTGTTCTTCTCACCGAGAAGACCGAAGATGCCCGATCAGAGTCGTGCTGTCCTTTTTGCAGCAGGGGCTGGAGAGAAGGCTGTCTCCCTCCACCCTTAAAGTCTATGTCACTGCAATCGCTGCTAACCATGACCCCGTGGAAGGGAAGTCGGTAGGTAGGCATGACCTGGTCATCAGGTTCGTTAGAGGGGCCAGGAGGTTAAATCCTTCCCGGCCCCCCTCCATACCCTCTTGGGACCTGTCTCTAGTGCTTAAAACACTACAGCAGGGCCCTTTTGAGCCTTTGCACTCAGTCGAGCTAAAATTTCTTTCATTGAAAACTCTGCTCCTGCTTGCACTGGCCTCCATCAAGAGGGTAGGGGACCTGCACGCATTTTCGGTCGACGATTCGTGCCTAGAGTTTGGGCCGGCTGACTCCCAGGTAAT